CCATTAAATATTAAATAGTTAGTCTGGTTTAATTTAATACATCGATTGGAAAATATTCATCATTAAAATTAGCATTACCACTTATAACAATAAAAAAAAATCATAAATAACTACTCAACTAATACAGTGTTAGCATCTGGCCAAAATGGACAAAAAAATCGGGAAAATTTTGGCCATTTTAACTGCTTGGCTGTTTGGCCATTTTTCCTCCCTTATTATTATTATTATATTAATATTAATATTAATATTAATATAGGTGATTCAGAGAAATATACTTCAGAGTATGAAAGGATAAGGGGAGAAAGTCGCTCCAGATAAATTGTACCAAACTATTGAAGAATATTTATTAGTTTTACCTATGAGATTTACCAGAGAAACGAAAAATCATAAACCAATATTAACACAGAGTCTAGAAATAAAAGAGAAAATGATTGAAGCCATCTTAAATTAGTCGTCAAACATCTGTGTTGGCTTACGAGTGATATATCTCTGACAAAATGGCAAGTATTATTCTAAAGATACCCGATACAGGAAATGATCAAGCTTTAATATAGTGAATAGTAATATAAATAAATTTAATCATTTCCTTATTTGTAGTAATGATTGTTACACATAAAACGTAAACTCAACTCGTAATCATACAAGTCGTCATCACTAATATATTATTTTAAAAAAAATTTTATCAAGTAAATGAAATATTTCAATTTCTAATTTCATTATTCAAGTCTGTGATCAAATTTTAATAAATAAATATTTTTTAAAGCATTATATATATATATAAATAAAAATGAAGATTACAATAAAAACTTTAAAACAAGATCAATTTCAATTAGATGTTGAATTAGAGGATACAGTATGTTGACCTTATCGTTATTAATCTTGTTTTTACTGTTGTTGATTTAGCTTACGTCCACTTTCTTATTACTCATTATTGTTCATTTTACGTTGTACATTTTAGGTGCTTAATATTAAAGAGAAGATTCAAGAAATTAAAGAATACGATATTCCTACCCAAAAACTTATTTATTCAGGTATTCCTCCTAAAACTTAAACAATATTCTTTATGGCATAAGTTTTATTTTGGTTTTTTTTTAATCTAACAAAAATCAATCGATAAATAAATAATTCACCATCATCATTTTTAAACAGGAAAAATCTTGACAGATGATAAAAAATTATCAGAATATGATATTACAGAAAAAGATTTCATGGTGCTCGTGGTTACGAAGGTGACTAGAAATTACCCGATTGATTATTACTTTAACATAACTATTACTATTACCATTACTACACTATTATGACAATATCATCCATCTATCGTCACCTTACTAATTATTATTATCATAATTATGATTATAAATGATTATAGCCACAATCTAAACGCCAATCTACTCCATCATCAACAACTAAATCTAGCGAAACTTCAGATGCTGTAAAACTTCCAACATCGCCTACAACAGCCACTACTAACACTGTCGTCACAACTGAAACTTCATCTACCGCTACAATACCATTACCAGCTACCACAACAACCACCACTACCACTGCCGATACTGGTGCAGCAGAATCTAATCCAGCATCTGATGCTTCTCAAATGTCAGAATTATTCAATAATCCTAATGCTTTAGGTATTTATTGAAAAAAGAAAAAGAAATTGTTATTTGCTTATTGAAATATTTTTAATGATTGATTTTATATTAACCATTAATTATAATAATAACAATTATTATTTTATTATTACAAAATTCAAAGTTACTGGGGCTGATTATGAAAAATCAGTTCAATATATGATGGAGATGGGATTCGATCGTGAATCAGCTGTAAGCGCCATGCGGGCAAGTTTTAATAATCCAAACAGGGCTGTTGAATATCTTATGACTGTACGTATATATATCTATAGTAATTAAAATATCTATTTTATTTTACATATACACGTACTTGTTTGTAATAAATTTTTTTTTTGAAACAATTTTAAAAATAGGGAATTCCAGAGAATTTTGATAATAGTTCAGGAACAACAGCTCCTCCAGCAGCACAAACAACACCAACAACAACAACACCAACAACAACAACAACAACAACCAATACCCCAAGCGGAAATACTACTTCTGCTACGCCAGCACCAGGTGTTACAAACCCTACTAGTACCAATAGTGCTCCTAATTTAAGTAAGTTTTTATAACATAGAAACAAGTAAATAATAAAAAATTAATTTTAATAATGTAATTATATAATATAATCTATTAGGTACACAACATTTAAATCTTTTTCAACAAGCACAAAATTTACAACAACAAAGACAAAGAGCAACCCAAGGTGGCGGCGGTGGTGGTGGACAAGGAGGAGGGAATATGGATGATTTGAATTTTTTGAGAAATCAACCACATTTTCGAAATTTAAGACAATTTGTTCAACAAAATCCAAGTTTATTGCAACCATTACTCCAACAGATTGGTGCTCAAAATCCTGAATTATTGCAGGTATATCATCATCATATTTATAATATATTAACGCTACTTTCTTAACAATGATAATAATAAATTATTGTTTGGTTTAGCTTATAAATTCGAATCAAGCTACATTTATGAGACTTTTACAAGAACCGGATGAAGGTGGTGAGGGCAATCTTCCACCACCACAATATGTTTCTGTGACACAGGAAGAAAAAGAAGCAATTGACAGGGTAAATGAATTAAATAATAATTTCAACAATAATTTCAATTTTCAATTTTCAACCTTATTGTTTTTTTTTATTAATATTAATAATGATAAATATATTTTTTTGGTAGTTGGAAGCTTTAGGATTTGATAGAGCACTTGCAATTGAAGCGTATCTTGCTTGTGACAAAAATGAAGAAATGGCAGCAAATTATCTTTTTGATCATATGAATGATGAAGAGTAAACAAACAAACAAACAAGCAAGCAAATTAATTAATTAAATCAACCTAATAATATATATTATCTGTCGTCAATATCATTAATTATTATTATTATTATTCGGAAAAATTATATAGAAAGAAAAAGTAAATAAATGTTTTTTTGAATTATGATAACTTTCTCATTATTATTTCATAATTTATTTTTTTCCTTCTTAATTTATTAAGGTAAAATATTATTATTTTGTTATTTAATTACTTAATCAATTATAAGAATAAGAAGTATATGTAAATTTAATAATTAAAAAAAAAAAAGCTAGCAATGCACATATTACTTTGTAAATACTAAGCAATTGTTTGGTAAAAATATAAATGAATAGATTGTTCTATTTACATTTCTTTCAAGGACTTGATAATCCATGAACTTCTGCATAATTCAAAGAGAAAAATTTTCATAGTCTCAGTAACCTTTTTGTCAATTCCCAATTTTGCTTTTCATTGTGACATTTTTTTAGTAATTACCATGAACTTTTTGATGATTTCATGACCAATTCATAGCATGTTTGTTAGCAGAAATATTATGATCTTTCTTATTGCACTAATTTTCTTTTTGAGGAATCTGCTCATACTCATTGCTCCACTATCCATTGAGGTAAGCTATGCCATCAAGCATGTGCCTTGTTCTGTTTTGGAAAGAGCTCGAAAAGCTTCATGCAGTTCAGAAAACTTTTCTTGGCCGAATAGCCATACAACCCATTTATAAAGGATGGGTGGCTTTTTTCATACCATCTTATTCACCTTTTTTTCTTTCATATATATGTATTCTTATTACTATATATAAATTTTATCACAGTAGTTTTTTTTTACCAAAAACAATCGTCAATTAATTTCAAAAATGGGATTGAAACAAACAATGCTTGTTACAAGACTTTATTCAACGAGCATTTGATTTGTATATCGTTGGTGTTTGGTGTTTTCATCGTTAGTTGGACCCTATGAGCTGCTCCACTTTGATAAGTCAATTTAAATAAGATTGTTAGTCACCTCAATTTGATTTGAAAAATCAAGTTTAGAAAACAGCTCAATTTACGTTGACAGAAATTAGAGATTTTGCTTTACAATTTGCTCTAATTCAAAAATCATCCGAATTGGATTTCTATAAAAAATTTTAAAATTCGGATTTATATCTCTGAATAATCAATTGATAATTACCAAATCTTTTAATCGTTCATTGCTTGAATCTTCATTCTTGATAAAACCAATTTCTTAATTATCATCTTTTTAAAAATTTACAAGATGATAGTAACTGCGCATACATATTGGTAGTCTCACGTGATCAACGCGAGTGTCAGTTAAAGTCCTTCGTATTCATGCCTAGGGAAAGTAAAAAGACAGCCTTTTGGTCTAATTAATTAGATAGTAGCTTAGTTATTTAAAAGTGGTAGAATTGTATTCAAGCATAAAGTAAGCGGGTAAAGCGCGCAATTATCTGAAAAACATTATAGCTTAATGGGGTACGTGACAATGTAGTAATATATATAATAAAAAAAAAGAACAGTATAGCTCGACGAGGATATTGTTCAAGTCTTTTGATCTTGATTTTCACCCGATTAGACTTTCTGTGAAGTTATTCTTATCCGACTTTGCCTTTTTGTAAAGTCCCGATATTAATAAAGCAAGCAGTATATGGAGCAATGCAAGCAAAGCATGAACGACCTTGGGAGATATGACTAATCTGCATGTGAATGTGTCGGTACTTATGATAGAAAAAAAGCTTACTACATCATGGGCATCTCATCAAAAAAGAAGAAATGAGTGATGACAGGTACAACATAAATTCAATGTTTGTGCCTATCGTGCAGTTCACACTACCACCAATCACCACATAGGCGAGAAAGATCGCTAAACACAAAATATATGCAATTTATATTTTTTTTAATATCTACATTTTGTTTTTCAGTTCTCAGTCAAGAAGAAGCGTTATTTTGGGAGAAAGTAAATTTTCATTTCAACTCAACTGCAAGAGATAATTAATTAATAATACAATGATAAGGTAGAGTAGATATCATAGAACAGGAAGTTATTAAATAAATTTTTTTTTACAAATTATATATTTATTTATATTAATTGTCCTTACAAAATAAAAATAAAACTTTTTCTAAAATCTAAAAAATATATATTGGAATATATTTTTTAAGTGAAAAAAAAATGGAATTAACAAATTTATTAAAAAAAAATATACAATTTTTAAATAATAATTTATGAAAAAAAAATAAATATATTTACAAAATAAATAAATTATAAATAAATTATATAATCACCTAAATATGTACATATATGTATGTATGTATGTGTGTGTATTATATATATAAATCAAGATTGATAATTCGATCGTATTCCATGAACACGAAATCTATAAAGACAAGTATATTGTGGATTATCCCAATTGCTATTTACCTTCATTAAAACAGCTATTATCGGTTTACTGTATCTAAGCGCTTCAAAGGTTTGTATGGTGGATCCGTTTATATCATAAGTAAATTTCCCCAAAAATAAATGATTTGGTGACGAGCCAAGCTTTAAATCTCTTTCGTCGCCATTTTTTTCATCTGAACTTGATTCACTTGGATTATTTGCTGCGTCATTTGGATTGCTTGTGTCATTTGTATCGTTTAGATCACTTGGAATGGCGGAATGATCGCCAAAAATACTTTCTTGTTTTTCTTCTTGAATGACATCATCTGTTTGTTTCAATAATAATGGTTCATGTCCTTGTTTTGGATATGAATTATCGATAATCACTTCTGGAACATCATCAACAAATCCCCATACTTCAAATTCTTTTGGTGCACTTGTGACACCCATTGCTATATCTTTACTCACATGATCATAAGTTATAGCTGTAACATAGATTCTTCTACTCAACAATACCGCTAATTGACCTTTCGGTCCAGCAAAAGGCCAACACTGGCCAACATGAGTCTCAGGTTGAAGAGCCGTTATTGGTGGCTTGCCTCTCGTGATTCCATGACCAGTTATTGCTGCCATAATTCGTTGATGCCATTGCGTAGGCCACATTTCATACGTTGGAGATGTTAACGGACTAATGATCTTTGCACCACCTGAGGAAAGTGCATAATCTGCCTTATTTAACCTATCCTGTGAATAAATATACAATTTTTCTTCTACCGCTTTGTGAATCTCGTTTTTAATAATTTCGGCAACTACATCATCGAGAATATATTTTTGATATCTAGCCATTTCATTGTTTTCAGGTTGAATACGTTACGAGTCCATTGGTAATGGGTTATGGGCACGAGTAATTGGTGATGAACCAAATAATAAATGGGAATTATCAACTGCAAGACGACTTGGACGAATCGTTGTGGGTGACGTTGTTGTTGATCCAGATGTGGAGGAAGAAGAAGCATTTAAAGTGGATGTAGAAATTGTAAACGGTCTTTGACGCATCTTTTCAATTTCAATTGCTTTCAATTCATCGTAACTATTACTAACATTAGCGGTAACGATATTTTCATTTCTATCATTGTCATCATAAAAATCATTAATAATATTATTTTTATTATCGCTGATCTTCAACTCTTCCATTGATTTAGTAGTACTCTTCATGATAAATTTTTTATTAATATTACTAATATTACTACTGTTGATAGTGCTACTACTAAAGCGATCAGGTGATCCAGACAAAGAAACAGGTCTACTGGATCCACGACTAGAATTGCCCATGATTTCCATCAATTCTGCACATGCAAGAGCCTCATCAGACCTAATTATACAAAGATTAAATATTAGAATTTAGTGACTGTTGATTTATCATTGAAACAAATCATAATAAATCGCAAAAAAAAAATAATCACTTACATTGATTCCAAGGTGTCACCATTATTATTAATGTTGTTGTTGAGGTTATCATCTTCACTATCCTCCTGCACAGCAGAAAGACCCCAAGGACTATCATTAGTAACGTCTGTGGTTGGAGCTGTAGTGGTGGTAGTATGGGAAGTCATTTTTTGTTGAATTTGCTGTAATTGCAATTTCTGCTGCTGCAATTGTTGTTGTAATTGTTGATGTTGTTGTTGATGTTGTAGTTGTAATTGCAATAAAGATGAAGTAGTCAATAGTGATTGATCATTGATATTATTAGCATTGGCAGCAGTAGGTGCAACCTGGGTAGAAATAAAGTTATTATTGTTGCCGTTGTTTAATAAATGACCAGCATAAGCATATAAAAATTTCTTTGGAAATGGTGCAATGATATCCGGCAAATCAGTTGTAGTGGGTGTGGTTGAAGCAGCAACTAAGTTCGTTGTAGCGGATGTAGTAACAGTAGTAGCAGCATTGGCAGAAGTTGCCTCACCACCAGCAGCAGAAGACATGTTTAAGGTAGATTCAGAGGTCGCAATAGAGGTGGTTGTTGTAGGTGAGGTTCTTTGAGTAATGTTGTTTAAATTTCCACCATGAATGTTATGATTTTGTTGTTGTTGTTGTTGTTGAGAAGTATAAAATAATGTCATTTTGTTATTGATATTGTTATAGGAAATTTTATAAAGAAAATCTATATTATATGTATAAGTTTTTTTTGTGAGATGAGTGGAGAATTTTTTTTAATATATGATAATATATGATAATTTTATTTATTATATTAAACAATAATAAAATTAAAATTGTCTATATGTAAGAAAATATTTATATATTTATAAAAAAAACAATATAAAAATAATCTATAGAAAACAAAATATTTAACAAGAAATAATATATTTATATATTTATAGATGGTTGTAAATGCTAAATGGAATTTTAAAAGTGATGTTAAAGATGTTGCTAAAGATGTTGTGGAATATGTTGTTAGAGATATGCAAGTTAGCGTGCGTGGAAGGAAGATTAATTGTGAATATGTGATGTTTGTAATAATATACAATATATATATGTGTGTGTGTGTGTATGTAAAATATTTAAAATTATATCGTTAACAGAAATTAAAAAAGAATTTTTTTTTCCTCGTTTCAAAAAGAGGTATTTATGTGTATATATTATATATATATATATATATATATGTATATAAGAGAATGAATATTTATAATGATGATGACGATATACTTATATGATGAAAATAGAAACAATATAAAAGGGAGAAAATTTATTTTTTTTTGGGTTTTTTTTTTTTTGTAAGATTTTTTTTAAATAGACAAATAAGCAGAAGTGAAGCGATAATATATAACAATTAATAATAGAAATAAAGAAGGAGGGAGAGAAGAAAAAAAAAAATCTTTTAATATTACTATTATTATTATTGTTTATATTATTATTATATATTATTGTTTATTATTATCAAGTAATTTGTTGGGTTTCAATTGGTAGAGCTAGAGATCGTGAAACATTAGAAGTTACACATAAAAAGCATGTTAGTGTAAGAAAGAAGTTGATTGAAAAAGCTAATTGTTGTTTATAAAAGAATAAATCCAAACTCTCATTATCATCATCAATTATCAATATCAATAATATTTCATTGTGATTTATTTATTTATTTACTAATTTATTTAAATTAATCGTTGGGATAATTTTTTAATCGGAACATTTATCGGAATTTAAAAACAATTTCATTTAGATGATTTAGATGATTATATAATTGGTTATTGAAAAGAACGAAAATCGGATGTTCCAAATGCCTATAAAAGTATATTATTAATATTAATACTAATACGAAAAGAAAAATCAATAGAGGCTTTTTATGGTAAGCAGAAAAGCGAGGTCACATGGACATGATTAAATTATTTTTATGATTGTCAATCTGTTTATTTATTTATATAAGTACCAAAAAAAAAATCAAAAATTTTTTTACGTAATTAATTTTTTTTCTTACGCTAACTAATCTCCATTTGTAAATCTGAATAGTGTCTGAGAATATTCTTGAATGATTTTTTGTAGAGATCGATTAGTGGCTAAATGTATAAAACAAATATATAGTCAGTTTTAGAGAATTGAAAAATCCCAAAATTTAAAATTTTATTTGATCTTTACATAAAATAGCCAATACATCTTTTAATAATTCATGTTTGGACATCCCCTATTAAATAGAATGTTATTAGGAGTAAATATATTAGTAATAAATGAACAAATAAATAAATAGATATGTTTGTGTATCGCTTACTGCTACAAAAGGATCCCAATTTGCACTGTTTGCACTGTTTGCACTAACAATAGATAAACAATTAACAATAATAGGTTAAACGAAAACAAATAAAAAATTAATGATGATATTGTTATTACTGTACCCAACATTATCTAATGGGCCTAAAAGTCTTGAGCAGAGTATATTTATCCTCTCTTCGTTGCCAACATCAGCCAACGCTTGAGCATAATTTAACAAAATTTTCTTATATTCGTTAGGTGAATTAACCAATTCAGCCGCCAGCAATTGATTATACAAATGTCCAAGTTTACTTTCACCCTGAGCCAAATACGACAATGTACCATAATTACCACCTTTATTTCTCGCAATTTGTTCTATTGAATTCAATATTCTCCTTGGATCATTACCGTACCCTTCTGTGGAAGTTTTCATTTCTTTTGATGAGTAGCGTGGATCATAAATCTGTATCCATGCTTTTGCACTAAGGTGATAACACCATGCTTCGTTAGTATCAGTCATTAGTATTGGTACCCCATTAGGTCTGATAAATACTCTTTCAATCGATGCATAATGAAAATCTGCTGATGATAAACTGGATGGTTGAATAATAGGCGTTATAGAAACAGATGATACTACTGACTCTAATTTTGGTAATTTCCTATTAAATAAAAATAAAATAATTAATTGATGTATTTCAAAAACATATTATTACTATGATTAAACTATTCACCAAACATTAACTATTCCAGTTTGAGATAAACATAATAAATATTCTCTTGACATCAATATATATGATGCAGCTGAGTCAAGTCTGATATTAGGTAGTAATCTATCATAAAAAAAAAAGTATTTATTGGGCAAAAAAATTAATATAGCACAGATAGATTATCAAACACCTCAACCAAAATCGATTACCTTAAACCACTGTGATCATATATTATAACACTAGCATTTTCACATCCAATAGCAACATACTTATCATTACCAGCAATTAGCGTTACTGCATTTGGAACAATATCACTCCAAAGATTTATTTTATTAAGAGAACAAACGATTCTTGAAAGACCTAATAGGGATAATTATATATATAATAATACATGCTATATATACATGCGCAATATATATTCTTTTCTTTTAAAAAGAACTTTACCTTGATGGTTATTATGACATTCAACTTTAAGAGCTTTAAATTCAGATAAATCTTTGGAAAGATAATCTTTGACTTTATGAGAAGACAATCGAACTTGTGACGTGACAACTGATGGAGTTATCATTGATGGCCTTGTATTATTGTTATTTAGTCTTGATGGTGATGATGTTATTGTTGTTGATAGATTTTGTATTTCACCATTCACTTTACCACTACCACCAGCAGCAGGAAGTAATGCTGGCCTTTTGTTCGGTGAAGCATTGGCATTGGCTGTATTATTACTAGAATCTGAAATTGCAGATTCTTTTCTTTTAGTTCCTATGAAAACAAGCGGTAGAGTTTCCATACTTATTTCACGATTTGGTGGATCAATATCGGGATTTGTTAGCGGATTGAAATTATTTGATGATGTTGATGAAATATTAATGTTCGTAGTAACTTCCGAAAATGAAGAAGACGAGGTACTAAAGAATGGTGAAGGACCTGTGTAAGAGCTTGTACTAAAGAAGAATAGGAAGAGTAAAAAATTACAAAATTTTTTCAGTGGTTATAATTAATATTATTATTTGAGAAATAAGTATCTATAATATATTTATTTATTTAATACCTTCTTAAAAAATTGGGTTGAATACGTTTTTTACCATCTTTTGTAATCGTAATGTGTTGTTGGATCTGATTTACAGGTTTAGTTGTGGTGATATTATTGGAAGAAGAAGAAGGAGGTATTATTGTTGCTGTTGCCACTTGATTAGAAGATTGAGCAGAAGAAGAATCATTTGAGATTTGCATTTGTGAAGCTTTATCAGTTTGTTGGGTACTGTTATTTTCGTCATTCATGTGATCAATTTCTAATTCTGTATGCGGAGAAGGTGATGATGATGACGGAGAAGAAGAGGAGGAGGAAGATGGTAGTTGGTTTTGTTGGAGTATTGTTGTAGTTGGTTTATGTGATGATAAATCTGACATATGCGATGTTTGTGACGATAGAGTAGATTGTGATAAGATTTGATCACCACCCATTAAAGCTGCTATTCTAGAAGAGGAAATTATTTTTTTTGATATTGCATTCTCTTCTTCCATAGCAAGTTGAGTAGTATTTTCAATAATTACTGGTTCTTTTGGTTTGTAACCATGTTTCGATAAAATTCTTTCTTGTTCTTCAGGTTTCAATGGTTCACCAAATTGATTTTTTTTAAATTCCAGTATTGTGGCAGTTCCATCATATGAACAAGCAAAAAGAAATCTTCCATCAGGTGACCACGATAAATCTAAGATACAATGTGTGAATAATTGTTTAAAGACTAATAATGGGTGAGAAGAAGATGTTGCCCAAATGGATACACCATGATCTTGACTTCCAATTGCACAAACACCACCAACAATGGTTCCACGATCTTGATCTCGAATATGATAAAGAATTGGACTAAAACACTTTTTTAAAAAATAAAAATTTTTATCAAATTATAATTTCCCCCTTGAAATTTTAGTTAATATATTACTATTTACTATATATTCATACATATACAATGATACTTACAACAACTTCTGTTGGAGATTCGTGGCCAATCATTGAAACATCGATTTTCCATTCATCTCTACGGAGAGCTATTGCAACAGGCACAGACCCCTGACAAGCATTAGGAATTGCTAGATGAGAACCTTCTGGTGACCAACTAAATAACGAATCCATTAATATTAAATTAGAAATTTTATGATAAAGTATTTTTAACAATAGATAAATAAATGAAATGAAATGAAAATTAGTGCCTTAATCTGCTAAAGAAAGTTGTTATGGGAGAATTTAAAAATGGTTCATTTATTTCTGTCTGAACTTTCCAATCACTAGTTCGCCAAATCTTAACTGATTTGTCATCAGCCTAGTAATAATATTAATAATTAATAATGATTGACATGTGTATAATAAATTTAATTATCAAATACCTGTGTAGCCAAGTATTCACCGATAGGATCCCATGAAACACCTTTTACAAAAGCACTATGACCTTCCAGTTTATGTAGTCTCTCTTTTCAAATGATAAAAGTTTATGAATATAAAATTTTTTCTTTAAAAATATTTATTTTATAGATTGCTATTC